TCATAACGGTGGTGAACGACCCGTTTGAATCAACTTTCTGGACGTCGCAGAACGAGGAAACGAGAGTAAACGCATTCATTGGATGCGCACCAGCAAACGTAGTCGAAGCCACACTACCGATCGTGTACGAGGTTGCAGGCTGTGAACGCACAAAGCTGAACGATTGTTGCGACGGTGCCGTGTCCACTGTTTGAAGCTCGACAGCAGCTAACTCGCTGCGGTTGAGCTGCAATGGAGTGGGTCCCACATCCAGTGGCACAGACGCATCGACCACCGAAGCTGCCACTCGCATTAGTTCCTGCTGCACCGCAGCCAACTGATTTGGACCGAAGAGAGTCGACGCGCCTTCGTAATTTTGAGTAAGATATTCCTCCCTCGTTGTCATGTATCCAGCGTAAGCATTGCTGATAGATGCAAGCTCAACTTCAGTGATACCAGCGCTTGTCAACGCCGTCTTCATAGTGTTTCTAATTCGACGACCAGCCATAGTTGAGGTCTCGAAGTTAGTCACCGCGATACCAAACTGACCAATCTTCACAACCTGTACTGGTAGAATGTCCGGTACCCACGGTACGGGCTCCATCAGTCCGACAGCAATAAGCGGAACTTTGTTAACGTCTTGGCAATCCTTGACCCACTTTGGCGTTTCCTGAAGCAGAGCACCCAAAGATACGAGCTGTTCGTTTGGCCTGAGATCTCCTTCTGTGACGTTAGCTTCTGTCCCCCGGCCATCTTCAGTGCCGGCAGCGAAGTTTTGGCCAACTACAGCAGGGCAAGTTCTGTTGGCATACGAATCATTGCCCATGACGTTAGTCTCAGTTAGTGAGACGTTCGAGAAATCCACATAGGAGAGTTTAGCCACAATAGATCCTTGAATGAGCTCAGACTCAGTGTTCAACAGAGCCGACAGTGCGTCGTATTGACGCTTGCCGACTATCTCAGCGGATTGGATCGTTGTGTTTCCTTCACCTCGATATGTGCCGTCACCGTTATCGATCAAGTTCGGACTCACGTCTGCGGCATTTGAGATACCAATTCCCACTATGACGTTATCCAGTTCATCTTCCAGTAGAAACTCAGCGTATCCCTTGTTATCGCCACTGATAAGGTGGTTCTTCCACGTGAGACTTGTGGGGTGTACCGGGTAGAACGCCAGAACACCACGCAGCTTACCCTCCTCGCCCAAGAAGTGTAATGCACGCATTGTCGTGTCTACGTCGCCATTGTACAGAGCTCTCTCGGATGCTGGATTGGCGAGATATGCGCTTGGAGATCTGTTCTTACCACCTTTGACAACTTCACCCTTGTTCCAACGAATAACACCTCTCTCCAATGAGTTGTGTGCAGCGTCGATGGCTTCCACGATACCGCTGACGATCCTATCGAAGTTTTCGGGGACAAATCCAGAGATGGTAATGTCGTAAAGGTTGTACCCTGCGGTTCCACCAGGACCCGCGTGGGTGTGTGTCGCGTGGAGAATGACGTTTTGGTCGGTGTATACACCCTCGTATTTATCGGCGAGTTGTAAAAGAACCTCTTGGTGAACTAGCTGCATGACCGACATCACGTCGCAGTTTACGAACACGATTCTGCTGTTGGCATCTGGATCTTCGATCACGAACGCGCGGGCATACAGACGGTTTAAAACTCCAGCGGTTGTTTCGTTTACATCGGCAAACCCCATCATGACAATTTCAGCGGCGGGTCCAGTGATGTCGGTCTTGCCAATACCGATGTTGTATGCCGTAAGGCGGTCCATCAGGAAGGCCAGAATACAGAGACAGAAGTCACTCCGAAACTTCATCTTGAGTATCGTGGATGCAGACGTTGACTGAGCG